ACCGCCAACAACAGGAGATTTTTCTGAATTTTTTCTGCATGGTCAAAGTACATCTGCGATCTTCATATCAATTACAAATCATGCGCCACGATTCATACGTTCATGATCGCCATCGAGCTTCCGACCAAGCTTGCCGTAATTACATTACCATTTAAATACAAGCGGAGGACGAACTCTAAATTTTTGCTTGATACGTCAAGTTTCCCCCAGATCTAGAGGATTCAGTATACCTCGTCCAGCATCGTTCGGGGAATGTGGAGAACCCCAGGGAGACCCCTGTCTACGTTGAGCCGCATCACAGACTCTATTCCAATCAAGATTCATTGTCGATATCCCCATACCCGATCTGTGAAGCGTGGTCGCGCAAAATCTCACTCCATGCCTGGCCCCGCGGATGCGCCTCCCGAAGGCCAACCGGACTATTCGACCTGGACGACTCCCAGTCTAATTGCGCGGATCACAGAGCTGGAGCGCCAGCTTCACTCACGAAACACGGAGTATGCTGCTCCGCCGTCCAAGGGTGTTAGTGAGATCGGCGCGACGAGATCCGCTCTCCCGCTCTCTGAGCATCCAACGACAGACACACGAAAGCTTCTCCCCGCCAAAGCAGGGAAACAAAAGAGACCTCTATCGCCTGAAGATGATATCACGCACACTAGAGCGCCTACCCGTCCTCCGAAGCAACCTCGAGAGATCGATCCATCCAAATACAATACTCGCTTCATAGCGCTGAAATTTGCATATCTGGGACAGCGCTATAATGGTTTGGAGCATGCGAATGGGAATGTCACGCCTCTGCCCACCATTGAAGAGGAACTGTGGAAGGCCATGCGGAGGACTCGGTTGATATTCCCTAAGAACGCGGAGGCCTTCGACGATTCTCGGGGGCCGAGGGAATTGAAACCTTACGCAATCAGCTGGGAGGGCTGCGATTACTCAAAGGCCGGGCGGACTGATCGTGGTGTGAGTGCCTTTGGACAGGTCATTGGAATTAGAGTACGAAGCACGAGGCCTAAACAGCCGGATGCGGAGGCAACGTCCGACGTTGAGATGACATCTGGCGCCCGTGCTGGCGACAATTGGGATGACATTGCAGATGAAATACCCTATATAAGTATGCTGAACAGAGTGCTTCCAGACGACATTCGGATTCTAGCCTGGTGCCCCAACCCGCCGCCCGGTTTCGACGCTCGTTTCTCGTGTAGAGAACGCCAGTACAAATATTTCTTTACCCAGCCTGCTTTCTCTCCAACTCCAGGGCCGCTGGGTTTCGCTATGCGAACATCGGGTGACAAGAGTGCCTCTGCACAGTTACGGGAAGGCTGGTTAGATATCGATGCCATGCGAGAAGCTGCCAAGTACTTCGAAGGAGTGCACGACTTTCGGAATTTCTGCAAGCTCGACACAAGCAAGCAGATCCAGAACTTTGAAAGAATCATCTACCATGCAGACATCGAGCTCCTTGATCCAAAAGATCACCCTCTGGGCTATGTGAACCAGCCCGGGTTCCAAGCTTTCCAGAATGCCGCTCCGGCAACGGATGCCGAATCACAAAAAATCACAAGTTCGGCCGCTGCTAAGGTGTATGTGTTCAACCTGCACGGGTCTGCCTTCCTATGGCACCAAGTGCGGCACATGGTGAGCGTCCTTTTCCTGGTCGGCCAGGGACTGGAGCCTCCAACCATCGTACGTGATCTGCTGGACGTGTCGAAAAATCCCTGCAAACCAACGTACGAAATGGCGTCTGATGCCCCGCTAGTCCTCTGGGATTGTATCTTTCCAGACGAGGCAAGTGGCAGCCGTAAAGATGCATTGAACTGGATCTACGCTGGAGACCCCAGGCAATCCAAGAGTCAACTAGGCAAGGGCAGCGGCAAGTTCGGTGTTGGAGGAGTAGTGGACGGACTTTGGTCCGTTTGGAGACAGCGGAAGATGGACGAGGTTCTGGCAGGCGCTCTACTAGACCTAGCTGTTAGCCAGGGTGACCAAACAGTTGTCAGGGGCGAAGGATCCCATGATCCAGTTTCAGAGAAAGAGAATCGGGGGCAAAAGGTTTTCTATGGCGCCAATGAACCCAGAATGGGCGGCAAATATGTCCCCGTCATGCAGAAACGGAGGACAGAACCAGTGGAGGTTCAGAACGCCAAGTGGCTTGCGTCAAAGCAGCGAAAAGTTGACAAGGCTCTGGAGCCTGCGCATGGGGATGATTAGAAAACGAAGGCTTGAAAATACCTTCCTAAAGCATTTAGAGCGTCGCATCATAGAGTGATCCTGCCCAACCAGATCCAGCTCAGATTATCTCATGATTTGGCGTCATATAAACAACGTCGAGAACCCCTCCAAACCTCTTCTAGGATTGCGCGCCTCGGTATAAGTTTCTTTGCATCGTCTGTAAGCGTAAATCAACCATGCTGGTATGGAGGGACCTACAGGAAAAACCACAACGACGTCCGGTTCGCCCTCCACAATCACAGCGAGGTAAAAGCAGACTTCAAACCCTTTAAAAGCTTCATGAATCACTATATCTTGGATCTGCGTCGTGGGGATGAATCTCGTCGCAGCTTTAGACAGATAGGTCGCAGATGAGGTAGATGTCTGGATGCCCAAACCGCGGATGACCAAAAGGGATTCCTCTGCAGTTATAAAAAGGGGTGAGTCTTTGGTGCGGCAGTCGTTCACTCCGAGGGTTTGAAAATACCTGTATACCCTTTTCTGAACACACAGTACAGCAGCAATATGCTCACCAAAGCGACAACTCCAGACCCATATGCATCTACGATGTGACAGACAAAAGAGCCCAATGGGCTCGACCAGACCGCCGTCCATCGCACGAGGGAACCATCTTCGTGAAAGAATGAGTGGCGCACTTTCGCAATATCACAAAAGAATATGCAGAGAAATAGGAGGGCTCGCAGCAAGATTTGGAGGTAGAAAAGCACTCTAGCTGGTGTGCTCGTATGCTTCGATGCGTTGGAAACAGTAAATGACACGGTCGTCGGAGATGGACGCCGCAGAATCAGGTGAACTGGCATCTGTAATGAGGGTTGAAGACCTCACAAAGGGATTGACAGTCCAATTGAGTCCATAGGACCTGTGACTATGCGGCGCAATCAAACGGCATGATCTGGCGAGAAGCTTTGAGAGTGAACAATGTAAGTCATAACACGATGTAGACTTGCATGGGGCTAGAGTGAGACACAGACCACTCTTAATTGCCTTCATGATGGATCCCATGGTCTAAACTATTTTAAGTCTAGTTTGTGTACAGCTGCCCGCCAGGCCGCCATACATCATCACGTGTCCGTCCTGCAGCACCTATGTTACCACAGCGGTCCCACTTCTTCCTAGCATACTCAGACCCCGATTATTACCATGGGTGACCGTTCAAGAAGCAGATCACCGAGAAGACGATATGATGGGGATCGGGACCGGCCTCGCAAGGCTGGAGGAGGGTTTCGGTGGAAAGACAAACGTCACGATGGTGACAGACCCGGAGCAGAAGATAGCAGGCTGAGCCGGGGTTATAGAGACAGAGGAGACCGGCCAAGATCACCACGAAGAGAACGAGACTCGGATCGATACAGAGATAGTTACAGGGATGGCGATCGCGAGCGAAGACGACCAGACGATAGTCAGAGAGATGAGCGCGTGGAAAAAAAGAAGGAGAAGAAGCCGGAGAAGAAGCCAGAGAAGAAGGCTGTTGTCGCACCACAATCCTCAGAACCGATGATTGTGGTGCATGTCAACGATCGTTTGGGAACCAAGGCCGCGATACCATGTCTTGCATCTGATCCTATCAGTTCGTTGCCTATCCTGTTTCTCACCTTCCAGGTGTGGTCATGCTGGGCTAACAACAATTTCATTTACAGAGCTCTTCAAGGCCCAGGTAGCCGCACGTATCGGACGCGAACCACATGAGATCCTACTCAAACGCCAAGGCGAACGACCATTCAAGGATCAGCTCACATTGGAGGACTATGGAGTCAGTAATGGGGTCCAGCTTGACCTGTGAGCAATCACTTCCCCACCCTCCCCCCTCCGTCTTCTCTCGCCATCGCGATTTATCAGGAAGAAGCATGACACTGACTTGCGATTTATAGGGAGGTTGGAACTGGCGAATAAAAGTGCATTGCCTTGGCCAGAAGGCCATGCTTTCTACTCTATATTTCTTTCTCTGTGTTTTTACCGTGGATTTCATTTGGGCAACGACTGGGACTCGGAGTATTAGGTATCATCATGAAAGTACTCTGGTATTTCAACTTTCGCTTCTTCTGGCCGGTTTGCTTTTATCTTCCAAATTTGCATGTACCTACCGGCAAATGACCATGCTCTATTTTGTAGTGCATCAGGCTAGCATGTCGTAACAGAAAGAGCAGGACGCTGTTTTTTCTGTGCTGGGGATGATAGCAAGAGTGCTGACTAGCTGGTTATTTGCTGGATGATGTGTTTTGGCCCCCGTTCATTTCATGGATTGAGTCATGCTGTTTGTTGATATTTATTCATCATCGTCATCATCATTACCCGCTCGCCAGTGCCTTTCCGCGGGGCATGACGAGGCCATTTCTGCCCGCTTGACCCGATCAGGCAATTTTCTGCCTGAGGCATGCGACCGGCAGAAACCCGAGGCAGCGACCAAGCTGGTTCCACTGGCGGAAGAGGCATTTTTTTCTATAGCGGGACTCACACGACCTGCCTTTCGATTTCTTCCTCCACTACTCCAATGTCTCCTCTGTCCAATTCGTCGGGCTCTGTCTACGCTCTTGATTCTCCGCCATGAGGTAGTGCTTGTCCACCCTCGCTTCAAGTTACAATCTCCCCTCTGAAACCCGCTTTTCTACCGTTCAGTTCTCACCGATTGTCTTTTTCTTGTCAGATTTCCCGCCTCTTCGGACACTCCAGATTTCTCTCCGCTCTCGGACCATCCAATATCACCCTTGCTTCTATATCCCTCCGGTTTTCCAAGGTCCGATCAAAACAGTCAGAACAATCAGTCATCCGAGATGGTTCGGAATATTGTCGTTATTGGGGGCACCTCCCACCCCCAGTTGACCCAGACGATCTGCAACGTCCTGGGTATCCCCCCAGCGGACGTATTACTTTCCAAGTTCGCGGTGGGGGAAACTCGGGTTGAGATCAAAGAGTCTGTCCGTGAGAAAGACGTCTATATCATTCAATCTGGCGGGTTGAAGGTGAACGACTCCCTCATGGAACTGCTCATCACCATTTCTGCCTGTAAGACTGCCTCTGCCAAGAGAGTCACTGCCGTCCTCCCATTGTTCCCATACTCTCGCCAAAGTGATATTCCATACAACAAAGCTGGGGCGCCTCTTGTCAAATCATCTAATGTTGGAAAGCCGGGTAATGGCTACACTTTCGAGAGCACCCCACCAACCCCGCACCCTGGAAAGCCGGAGAGTGGAAGTCTTTTGAACAACGTTGATAGCCTGCAGAAGGGTTTGGCAAAGGCGCAACTTGATGATTACAGCAACGGCAGCCCGGTCAAGAGACGCGTTCCTAATGGACCTCCGCGCAGTGACACCGCTGACTCACTGAAGTCGGACATTAGCCTTCGATCCACTGTTGTCAATGGGCAGGCGAATTACGACAGTGTTCAGTCCAAGATTAGCAGCTTTCAGCCTCGCCCTGGCTACAAGCAATGGGTGGCTCAGGCAGGTACCCTGGTGGCGGATCTTCTCACCTGCGCTGGTGCAGACCACATCATCACGATGGATCTGCACGACCCTCAATACCAAGGATTCTTCGACATCCCTGTCGACAACTTGTACGGCAGACCGTTGCTCAAGAGCTACATCCAACAGAACATTCCGAACTACAAACACGCGGTCGTTGTCAGTCCTGATGCCGGAGGTGCCAAGCGAGCGACCGCGATTGCTGATTCTATGGGAATGGAATTTGCTCTCATTCACAAAGTGCGTTTCACTCAATGACTCTGTGGGATTCTCATGCTGACTATGTGCGCAGGAACGACGCCCAACGAAGATTACAGACCGCCAAAATGCTACCATGATGTTGGTTGGTGATGTCAAGGATCGGACGACAATTCTGATTGATGACCTTGCCGATACATCCAACACCATTACGAGAGCTGCAAAACTGTTGAAGAAGGAGGGCGCATCCAAGGTCTATGCCTTGGTCACGCATGGTATCCTGAGCGGCGACGCGATCGACCGCATCAACGCTAGCTCTCTCGACAAGGTCGTCGTTACCAACAGCGTCGATCAATCGGAGCACTTGCGCCGATGCCCCAAACTGGAAGTTTTGGAAGTTGGCCATGTCTTCGCAGAGGTAAGCTGGTTTTCTTCTCTATTTCAATGCCAATCTATCCTAACGCTATGCAGGCCATTCGCCGAGTCCACCACGGCGAGAGTATCAGCGTACTTTTCCAATACGACTGAGCAAGGACTGCATATCTCACTGCTTCATGGCGGTTATGTCTCGCATATGAAAGATATTCCATGAAATTTTGGAAATTTGAACGATGAAGCGATGCCGTATTTTGGGTCTTTTCATTTTCTCTGCCTTTGCTTTTGACATAGATGTTGGTTTCTGCTATCATTCTCCACATTCTACCAACTCTTATGAAGCCATACTATTCCATCCACAATATACCTATACATTGAATGTACACGAAGACCTCCGCAGGGCAAACCCATGAGCCTGAAATGACGCCCTTATATGAGACCAAAAAATGGAGTTTACTGCTTGGATTTGCCTCTTTTGTTTTATTTCGTCTCGTTGATTTGCGGCTGCAATCATATATTGCAGGTCGTGGATGACACGATTATGCTTCTGTATCTTAGGAAAGATTCATGAGTCAGGACACAATGATTCTAATTTCTGGTCAACTTATTACTCGTTACACTTCAGATACCACTGGCTACTTTCGACTGGCTACTTTCGACATTGCATGCTCTCTGCTTAACATGGGTTTTTTTGCTGCTGGGTTGGTGTTTACTTGTTTCTTGCAATTGAGGAAGTCGCAAGCTAGTCAATCGATGCATTGGCGCAAACGAAATATAAATACGGGTTTGAATGATGAACAATCATATGTTGGCTGTCTGGGCCATTACATAAGAATTGGTCGGGTATTGACAAGCTTGGAGAAATCTTCTCCAGTAAGATATTATCCCTTAGCCATGCTCATACTACCGGATATGTGGATCGAGCTACAAGGGTGACCTGTGCTGAGAGCACATTCAAATCCCATTTCAAATAATATGCAAGAAAAGTACCTGAACAAACTCAGGCTTAAGATCAGATGTGTTCATCTATACTATATCACAAGGAACAGATCCCCCAAACGCCGAGGCAAGCAAACAGAGACCAAGACGAAAAGAACTGGCAAGGGTATGCCGAGCGAGTTTGCGGCGCTCATAGGGAGGGCACTCAGCCCAAAAATCAGACAAAAAGAAGTCGTTGAAGCTAGGTACAATGATAACAGAGACCAGGGTTCGCGATGGAACGGATGGGAATAGGCGTAGTATCGAACGACGGAGAGCACAGGCTAACATGGCGATGGCAAGGAGCAACAAAACTTAGAAGACAGAAATGAAATTTCCGATCCTCTCCTTCTGGTTCTGCGCGATGCACTCTGCGATCCAGGTGACGTTTCGGATTTCCTGCGAACCATGTCAGCTGTACTGTGTACGGAATATGACCATTGAGCTTCGGGCGACGAACCTGTTCCTTGAGGCGCATCCACGCGTATACCACCGCCGGGGTGAACTGGCGTGTGAAGACAATCTTACACATTTCCATTTCCTTCTGGTAGAACATATCCTCCAGACTCTTCCCCTCTGAGCCGCCACCCATTCCGAAGCCTCCACCTCCGCCCTGGCTGAGACCAACTGCGTCGAAGAAGGCCTTGTAGTCGCCATTGACGCTCACGGCCAAAGACACGCCTTCAAGGTCGTCGGCGCGGGACAGCATCAGAGATCCCTCAGGGTAGAGCTTCCCGAACTCGGGATACAGCTTCCTCCGTTCCTGCTTCGAGAGCTCGGTGCCGAATGAGTTCAGGGTGATGTTGATTGCACGACGGTCAGCCTCAAACTGCAACAGTTCGGACATGACCTCTTGCGTAGGAGTGCCCTTGAAGTCCGGGTGGGTGTTGACGAAGTTGTGAAAGTCTTCGAGGTAGTTCTTATAGAGCGTATTGCGCACGATTTCGATATTAAGTTCGTCCAAGTCCTGGTGGCTGAGACTCCCCTTAAAATAGTCCGCTAGTGGTGTCTCAACCAGCACGGAATTGTACAGTTCCTCGATGTTGGTGGCGACGCATAGCACTGGCAAGGTCTCGAACCACCCCAGGGGATGGCATCGCTCCAGGAGCTCTCGCGTGTCCCGTTCGTGCAAGGTGCCGGTGATCAGAAGAGCAATGTTGTCGATCATGTATCCGTACGTCAGGTATTGTAGGAACTTGGCGGTAGACCCCGTGGCCTGGGCGAGGAGGTAGCGGAATTCCGCTACGAGCTTGTCGGTCATCTTACCAGCGAGGGCAGATGTGGAGGGGTTGGGGGGAAGTTCGGCGAGAAAGTCGCCATAAGCGGGGGCGAGTTGTAACTTGACATCTGTGCATGTTAGACCATATGATACTGGCAGAAGAGACGTCGAATCCACGGACCATCGATGTTTTCGCATTGGGTCAAATTATTGTAGTTCTGGCCGTTGAGCAGACTGTTCCGATACCCCCGGACAATCCCCTCGATGTAGCTGTCCACAATCAGTGATCGATGCAATCAGATTATGAGCAGCTCAAGAGACAGCCTACCCATTGTTAACGTTGAAAAAGAGACCCTCCATTTCGAAGTGCTGACAGCTACCTGGAGGTTACCTGAGCCTCTCCGCAAACCAACACCTGGAGCTGTTTCTCTGCCACACCTGCCACCGCGTTACGTAAGCATACACGGCCACACAGTGCACCCGCCACAGGCATTGGTGGCTTGGGGTCGCTTTTTTTCAACTTTTTAGTTTTCAATGCAAAAATTCCCGCCAACAGCCAGAAAAATTAACTAACCTCCAGCACGCCCACGGTGGTTTTGCCCACGGTCGCTGACACACTTTCGGCCGTTTCTTCTTCTTTCCTTTCAGATACTCGATTTATTTTTGAGCAGCTGAGAGTCAAGGCCGTGCACCATGACACTCTTTATCCTTACTGAAACCAGCGCGGGCTATGCCCTGCTCAAGGCGAAAGACAAGAAGCTTCTGAAGAGAGACGATGTGGCTACGGAAGCTTCCACTGCAGAGGGCGTTTCAAACTTGTGAGTGACTATTTTCATGTCCTTGTCAGAAATTTGATTAATGTTCAATTCTTGCATGGGCTTCTACGAGCAAAAATTTTTTCTGCGCTCTCAAAACAGTGCTCTAACACCGTGGTAGGGTGAAATTGAAGAGCTTCCAGAAATTTGACAGTGCTGCTACGGCTCTGGAAGAAGTCGCTTCGCTTGTGGAAGGAAAGGTTACTCCTCGCCTTGCCAGCCTGCTGGACGAGATCAAAGATGAGAAGAAGGTCTCTTTGGCCGTTGCCGATCCCAAGCTCGGTACGTGACCTGAACATTTTGAGGAGTCGAATTACTCAGTTTCTAATTCCTGTGTCCCCCGACAGGCAACGCAATTGGCAAGCTTCCCGGCATGTCTATTCAATTGGTCGCAGACTCGACCACGACTGATATCTTCCGTGCTATTCGCGAACATCTACCCACACTGATTCCTGGTCTTCTCCCCCAGGACATGTCTACCATGTCTCTTGGTCTGTCCCACTCCCTCGCCAGACATAAGCTCAAGTTCTCCCCCGATAAGATCGATACTATGATTGTCCAAGCTATTAGTTTGTTGGACGACCTCGACAAGGAGCTCAACACGTACGCCATGCGTGTGAAGGAATGGTACGGCTGGCATTTCCCCGAGCTGGCCAAGATTCTGAACGACAACATTGCCTATGCCAAACTTGTGCTCAAGATGGGCATGAGAACGAACTGGGAGACCGCGGATCTCGCGGAGATCCTGCCGGAGGAGCTTGAGGGCACCGTCAAGGCCGCTGCTGACCGATCCATGGGTACTGAGATCAGCCAAGAGGATTTGGAGAACATTCAAGCGTTGGCCGAGCAGGTTGTTGGTTTCGCCGAATACCGCCAGCAGCTCGCTGGTTACCTGACTGCCCGTATGAACGCTATTGCCCCTAACCTGACCGCCCTGGTTGGCGACTTGGTTGGCGCTCGTCTGATCGCCCACGCTGGTAGCTTGACAAACCTTTCCAAGAGCCCCGCCAGTACTATCCAGATTCTCGGAGCCGAAAAGGCTCTGTTCCGTGCGCTGAAGACCAAGCACGACACACCCAAGTACGGTCTCATCTACCATGCTTCCCTTATCGGTCAGGCCACCGGTAAGAACAAGGGTAAGATGGCAAGAGTCTTGGCCGCCAAGGCTGCTCTTGGACTGCGTGTCGATGCTCTCGCCGAATGGGATGAGGATGCCACTGAGGAGGACAAGGCCGCCCTGGGTACTGAAGCCAGATACAACCTCGAGCGTAAATTGGCCGCCATGGAGGGCAAGCCCCTCAAGCCCCGTGGTGTTGCCATCGGACCCAACGGTGCCTCCGTGCAGCCCAAGAAGTTCGAGATCAACGAAGCCAGAAGATACAACGCCGACGCCGATGCTCTTACTGGCGACCAGCCCGCTTCCAAGAAGGACAAGAAGCTCATTGAGGAAGTTTCAGATGAGGAGATGGCCGACGCGGATTCGGACGAGGAACCCAAGGCCAACGGAACCAAGGACGACGACTCGTCCGACGAGTCTGAGGAGGAGTCGAGCAAGAAGCACAAGTCCAAGAAGGGCAAGGATACTGAACTTGAGAAGATGGCCGAGAAGGCCGGCTTGAGCGTCAAGCGGTACAAGCGCAAGCTGGAGCGCGGCGAGATCACTTTCGACGCCAATGGCAACCCCAGCGCCATCAGCAAGAAGGAGCTGAAGAAGGCCAAGAAGGAAGCCAAGAAGGCGTCCAAGGGCGATGAGAAGAAGCGTAAGCGATCAGATGACGGCGAGGAGGTCGACAACGGCGAGAAGAAAAAGAAGAAGAAGAAGGGAGAGGAATAAACCTTGCAATGATCTGAAAAGAAAAGTTTACGCGGATCGATCGCTTCATCAATCTTTGTATGATATCACACATTGTGGGTTCAATGCTGCTTGTCATTTTGATTATTTTATTTTTGCCCTTTCTTGTGAGAGTTACTTGTTTGGGTGGCATTTCAGGATGCGATTTTGCTGGTCTATCCATGGCGCAGAGGTGCTTATTGGTACAAGGCAGTACAATTCAGGAATAATATGTTCATATCAATTTCTTCATTGTAGTCAGTAGTCTATCTCCTGTAGCCTACATTTCCCTTGTACTACCCCTCTAGTA